ATGAAAGTACGTGCGTGCGCGTGCGTGTGTATATATGTGCGTGCAGGTGTGTACGTGCGTGTGTGCGCGTGTGCATGTGCGTGCGTGTGTATATGTGCGTGCATGTGTGTGAGTGTGTGTACGTGCGTCTGTGCGCGCGCGCGTATGTGTGTAAATGTGGAATTATAATGTGCCGCGATTATTCCTTATGAACTATACGAGCGTATATGTTCTGACATAGCTAGATGAACTATTGGCAACGACTATCAGTAAGCTATTCTTTTGATACGAACTAATCTCGGATCCCGTTTCGCAGTCGAATTCATTATTCGCGATCACAAGATATGACTCTTTCCACGAAATAGGTGTTTGTCACTCAGTGCAAAGTGTGTGAATTTGCGCGTGCGTACGTGCACATATGCATGTATTTAATGCATGCATATATAAATTAGAGTCCGTAGTCCGTCCGAAGGTGAGCACTTCTTGTGCACCCACAGCTCACCAGATCACAGAATAGCCCGGGAAGACGATCGAGGAGGTATTACAAAGGCGAGAAACAGAAAGGTACTTGTTCTCGTTATAATGGGAAGGCGTGTGCGATTATATCAGGGGTGTTTATAGTTCATATTATATAGTTTATATAATAGTTATATAGTCTATATTATGACACTCCTGATTAGATGTTGTGTAATAAGGTGCGCGAGGATGTGCGTGAGTGCCTTGACGCAACCTCAGAACAACTGCTGGCATTGAGGTCGCGTGATGTTCTTGAGTATGAAATTGTATAATTCGTTAAATAAATAGCCTTACGATATTTTAACGCATCTTATAATGCTGTATAAACGTATAAGAAATATATAATCTAGTCGGTGTGCTTTTGAACAAATAGGAATATATTTCTATCGATACTCGTTGAAAAATTGTTCTTACAAACCGTTAAGTAATTGTCAAGAGTGACAGATTGACGTAACCATATAGATAGCTAGATAAATAATTCTTAGTTCGGATGTTTATTTCCAGCAGATGTAAATGTATCACGCAAAAATATAGCAGAAATTGCAAGGTATCGTGTAAAGAGAGAACATCATTCACGTGTTTTTTTAATATAATTTCATGCGTATTTTACATGTATCCTGCTATAACTTTACCTGACAGAGAGAGACATATCTGGCTGAGAGACTGCTAGCTGCATACGTTCCGCTGACTACTACAGCTTCGTTAAGAGAACATGGCGGACGGAGAGACTAGGAAAGCGATTCTGGAATGGCTGGAATTCTTCGCTAAATGCGCAGGGCACGCAGCCACCATAATGCTAGCAGTGGCTGCTGGGTTCAACCTAAAGTCAATAAAGTATAAACAATGACATCCATTAAAGTAAGGTCTGCATTATATACTGTATACGCTGTAAATTTCGCGGTGGTTTAATTTTCGCGAATTTTGCGAAGGC